TTGTTGGCATATAATTTTTCATAGTATTCCCTGATAATTGCTTGTATTTCTAAGGGATTGGTTGTAATAATTCCATTTTCATTCATGATTTTATCTATTTGTGTCATCTCCCTTTTCTTTTTGAGAAGCCTGGCTAGAGGTTTATCAATTTTGTTTATTTTTTCAAAAAAACAACTCTTGGTTTCATTGACTATAAATTTCTTACTCAACTACTTAAACCATGTTCTCTGCTTACCAGGTTGATGAGGAGACAGAAAGGTATTTATAATTAGGAGAGAAGAACAATCCCATGTAAAAATTTGAATTATTAAACATGCTAAAACCACAGCAACAGAATATCCTCTGAAGCAATTAAACTGAATTTTAGAGTTGCTTTGTTGACACTCTTAGACGCTGTTCATATTTACAAAGTCCTTGCTCTATCTTTTCACTACCAGAGGGCATTTTTCTCTGACACAAAAAAGCAGCCAGTGGGAGCCTGGGTGGGTCAGTTGGTTGACCTTCCCACTCTTGATCTTGGCTCAGGTCATGATCTCATGGTTTGTGGGTTCCAGCCCTGTGTCAGACTCCGTGCTGCTTGCAATTCTTTCTCCTTCTCTCTCTGAGCTTCTCCTGCTCATGCATGCTCTCTCACTCTCTCTCAAAGTAAATTAACAACAACAACAAAAAAAAGGCAGGCAGAACGTGAGACACTTGATTTGCCCTTCTGCAGCCAGCCCCTCCCAATTTGTCCTGGTCACCATGGAGCCAAGTCTCCCTTCTCTCTGAAAGGCAGCTTCTCCTTTTGGGTTAAGCAGTCTGCAGAGCAGTGCATAAGTAGGATTGTGAAACCTAACGTTACTCTTTGAATGGGCAGAAGTGAAAGACATAGTCCTGTAAGCAGTCAAAAAGGATTCTTTGTGAGTTATAGCCTCAAAGAGCTGCACAGTCTAAAACTTCCCTTTGTTCTAATTCTCATTTTTGTAAGAAAGTTATTTTCTAAAGCTAATAACTAGAAGATGCCTTTCCTGAGAGTTGAAGATTTACACTTACATTTTGGACACTGAATAGAAAAGAAGAGTCAAACACTAGATGCTAAAGGAGCAAAGAATTTCCAATTTAATAAACATTTATCAAACCCTATATGAAAGGCACTTGGGCAAAGGTTTATACAGGTTAACAAGATCAGGGCTTGTCTTCATGGAGCTCATACTTTGATAGCAACACATGTGCTTTAATAAGGGCATCACTGCTAGAGCAGAAAGATGAGATTGATCCCTGATTTGAGGATAAAGAAGCTTCAGAAGCTTGATGATTGTCATAAAGAAGGATGGCTGTGTGACTGGTACTGTTAAGTCCCAACGTACCGAAAAGTTTCTTGTTTGAAACATAGTTTAAACTGTATATCTTTTTTTTTTTTTTTTTTTTTTTTTTTTTTTTGCCTAGATTTACATTCAGTGAAACCACACTTCTTTATCTTAGTAGAACCAGAAAATTACTTCATTAGCCATAAAAATTTTGAGGACTTCAAGATTACTATAAAAGCTAGGTAAGAAAATAACTATTTTCAGATTAATGTAGCCCCTGAATGTGAAACAGCTTTAATTTCAAGAGTCAAAGTTGACTGATTAGTAGTGCTTGCCTGAGGTCCTATGTTGAAAAAGACTTTGAGGTTCAATGTAAAAAATACTGTGATTAATAATATCTAATAGCTGTGGGAAGTGGATTCAAGGAGAATTGCCTGAAGTATATTGGCTGAGTTCAGTCTCGTAGTTATTCTACATTCTTGTAAGCAAAGAACCCTAAAGATTGAAGTCATGGTGACTATTCGGGTGACTGTAACTGGTTAGGTATTAAAAATATGATATAAAAACCATTCAGTTCTTTATATTCATGACCTCATTAATATTAATTGATCATACAACTTAATTATCAAAAGCAGTTCTAGAACAGATTGAAAATGCTCAGAAGTCATACTTGGCAGATGAGCTAATGAGAACACAGACTTGCCTGTTTTATATTTAAATAGGGAAAGTTTGTGTTTTTCATGGACTCAAAGGCAAATATTGGGCTAAACTGAAAATGACACGTCTCCAGGTTGGATGTGATATTGCCCCTTTGGCTAAAAGGAGCACTGGGGAGTGGCTCCCTGTTGTTGCCACACCATGCCACAGTCATGGAAGAAGGTGGCTCTTTACAAAGAGACCTGGGTCCTAAGCTCACTTCTCCATGAACTTGCTGTGAATTTAAAACCGTGGGAAGTTGAGCAAGTTTGTTTTATCCCCCTGGGAACCAATTTCATCATCTGTCAATAGAAATAAAAACACTTACTTTCCCCTGCACCTGCAGAGTGTAACAATGAGATGTACTACTGTGTACACAGTTCAAGAGTACAAAGCAAATTTCGCATTTTATCTGTATGTCATTACTATAACTGCTTTATCAAAAAGCAATTAATTATATTCCGTTTTGACAGATATTCTTATAGTGAGAATGTAACAGAGGCTAAAGTTTCTGTCTTTTTTGGGATAAGAGAAGATTTACATGGGAGTGGAAAAGAAATGATGCATGAAGCAACACAGAAGACAGAGGTAAAGAGAGATTGAGCTACCTTCACAGTCATGGAGAACTGAGGCAGTTCACCAGCACATGGAGACCGAAAGTGGGCTTTCACCCTCAAGAGTCCACGGAATTAAACAGAAGAGAACAAAACAAACCAATAGAACTTCGGGCTTTGAGAAGTTCCACTGGTGAAAGCAGATAAGCTACAGAGATATTTATCTTCAATCTGGAGAAGGTTCCATCAGATAGACAGTAGTACCCAAATTCTAGCCTCAGATTCTGAATAGGATGAGACGTGATGTCGAATCAGAGATGTTCCATCTCTGATCCTGCAATATGGCCTGAAGCTTCAGGCCTGAAAGAAATGACCTGAATATTAATCAGTTATAAGTGTAGAATCAAGCTTATACTTTGTATTACCACAAGTTGTAACTACAATGTCATTGTCAGGTGAAGATTTTGCAGGCTGGTAAAAGAATTTGTTATTCCCTCTCAATGAATTCTTCTCTAATATTATAACTTCTACCTTTTTGTTCCCCCTAAAAAATCAGCTGATTGATGGAGTTGCACAAATTAATTTTAATACTTCAAGGGCAATTAAGAAACTGTCATATAAAAGTCTAGAAGATTTAAATAACAAGTATCTTAATATTTTTGTGGAAGTACAAGAAAGTACAGGTGAGTTCTTAAACTCATCTATCAAATTCATTTCTCACAGTTCTTGTTACAAAGTTTGAATAGAAATCTGCAGCTTACGGGGCGCCTGGGTGGCGCAGTCGGTTAAGCGTCCGACTTCAGCCAGGTCACGATCTCGCGGTCCGTGAGTTCGAGCCCCGCGTCAGGCTCTGGGCTGATGGCTCAGAGCCTGGAGCCTGTTTCTGAGTCTGTGTCTCCCTCTCTCTCTGCCCCTCCCCCGTTCATGCTCTGTCTCTCTCTGTCCCAAAAATAAATAAAAAACGTTGAAAAAAAAAAAAAAAAGAAATCTGCAGCTTATTACTGGTGCATTTTGGGGAAGTGCCTTTGCCAGATGAGCTCCACCAAAATACATGTCCACCAGCTCTGTGCAAGGGAAATGCTCATGAAAGTGATGATGCCCTACTCCCACATGCTAAGGATAGACTTTTATGTTTCAAAAAGAATAAAATGATGGTACCAGAAAATTTTACTTGCAACAATTATTCACATTATGAAAGCATCCCTGAGTCATTTGTGTGCTTGCTTACCTATTCTTAAACATTTTACACATATCTTATACCATACTACCTGGTATTTGTTTGGATGTTGCCTTGGAAATGAGAACCATCCACTTTACATGTGAGTGCCTCTTCTAACAGGATTATTGACTCCTTGAGGGCATGAGGCCCTGCTCAGTTATTTTAAGTTAAAAATGGGATAAATAATCTGACAAGTGGTCTGGAACAGGAGAACACTATCTGAAACTGGTGAATGGGTGTCTTCCCAACCTCCTGCAAACTGTGCTTTACTGGTCATGGAGTGGCCAGGTTCTTCTAGGGCGACCATAACAATCATCGAGACTTGGGTTAATAACTGTGTGTGAAATGACCAAAGAATGAATGGATAGCTTGTCCTTATCCAAATAAAGAAATGCAGAGGGATGGAGTGGGTACCCGTGCAGGTCTATGTACTACAATGTAGAACTTGCCAAATTCTAAGTGACACATTTTATTACCTTAGGTACATTCTTCCAAGAAACCAAAGTGACTGATATCAAATACGTCCTCTTACCTTACACACTGGATTTGGTTGCTACTCCTCTTTTCCTGAAGCCTGGAATTCAATACTGCATCAAGGTTAGATGATTAGAAAATCTAATATGGTGGATTTTATGGTCTGTGGGAGGACAGAGGAAAAGGGTGTCTGATAGATCTTGCTTCTCTGTGACCTTCAGTACAGACACATGAATAGAGGTTGAGGAATAGACAAGGCAATGACGAATGCTGTGAGGAAAACAATGGTCTTGATCCAGACGTGGTAATAATTTCTTCCAACCCATGGCTTATGGGGCACATGGAGAAGTGCTCTGTTCTTATTAAATGTTCAATAACTGTACACTGATTGAATGTAATTCATATCATATATGCCTGGAGTGGTTAAAACATGACCTTAAGAGAACCACATTTGCTGAATTAAATCCTAACAAATTTGTGCTTGGGACTGAAGGAGGGGATTATTTTAGGGGTTTTCTTTTGGGAAAGAATCAATGTCAACCAATGAAATGGATTTGGTCAACAGGTACAGGTGAAGGATGCCTCTACCCATTTCGTAGGAGGGATTGCGGTAATCTTGAAAGCAAAAACAGTTGGTAAAACTCAGGAGAAGAGAGAACTGGATCCAATAAAAAGCACAACAAATTACAATGATGGAGTAGCTTCATTTGTGGTTAACGTTCCCTCTGATGTGACAACGCTGGAGTTTAATGTGAGCCGAATTCTCATTTGTTGTATTTTCAAATGTCGCCTCAGTCTGTGTCATAGTGAGTATACAGGAAAGATACGTGAGATTTTATGCACAAATCTAGTGAACAACTCAGACATTTGACTTATAGGCACAGGCAATAACATGTAGTGTACTGAACATTCCATAAAGGGTGTGAATCTGTCAATTTTGTAATTAGGAAATAATTTTTTCTTATGCTAAACAAAATACTACTCAAATCTAGAAAGTTTAGAAAAAGAATTGCCAGGAGGATACAAGAATACAGTCTTCTCTTGTCCAGTATTTCCAGCTATCATCTCTCCCTCAGTTCCCATGCTAATTCTGCTAAAGAACAGCCTACATTCTTCTCCCCGTTCCATACCTCCTCAGGCTGCTGAGATCTGGCTTCTGCCCCCACCATATCATTCAAACTGCTCTCACCAAAGATATCCATCAGCCATTTGCTATGACCACTGGATAGTTTTTAGTTCTTGTCTTTCTTCCATCTCTAAGACATTTGGTGTGATTGACAATTGTCTTTTTCTTTAAACAATGTTATGGCCTCTGTGATGCCACATTTTCTTCTTTCTTATTTTTCTTCTTTGCTTCCTTCTTTATAGCCTCCATTTTGGACTAATAATCCTTAGTTTGCCCTCTAAGTGGAACCTTAGGGTTCTATTCAGAGCTTCCTTTCTTCTTATGTGACACATTTTTTATTTGACATATTTCCTCTGTCATTCCATCTGCTCTCATACCTTGTGCTGAAGACTCATCCTACAAGATTCCTACAGACACCATTTTCACCATATTTTTTTCTTGGATATTTCAAAGAAGCTAAACATTGCTTTGTCTAAAACTGAGGACCACTACCAACCTCAAACCTAGACCTCCTCCCAGTGCCCTGTTCAGAGAATGGCCCCACAGCAAACCAGTTCCTCGCTCTCCTCCCACTCTCCTTACTGAGGCAAAGGGGGTGGAGCGATCTTTCTGAGACACAAATAGGACCTCAATTGACCTTATCCTTGCTCCCTTCTCCAAACTCATTGCTTGCCACTGTTCCTATGGCTCCTCAAACTCCAGCTTCACTGGAAATTTTGCAGCCCCCTAACACCCAGTGCTCTGTTGCCACAAGGCCTTTGTAACCCTACCTGGACTGTCCAACCCCATTTCTCTGATTCCCTTGCTCCTGCTTATTTGGGGGTCAGCTTTTAAATCGTGTCCTGCAAGAAGCCTTCTCTAAGTACCCTGTGCTAATCGGGGTAGGTATCCTTTACTCTCTGAAAGCCTCAAGTTTTCAAATTCCTTAAGGGCAAGAGCTATGTCTATATTGTTCACCGTTGTGTCCCCAACAACTAGCATAGTTCCTGACACATGTTAGGGACCACTAAACATTGATTGGCTGAATGTATATCTATTTCCAAACCTAAACAAGGGCCAAATGTTATAGTCTCCCTTTCCTCTAATAGCATGAACCATTTTTCCTTTACACATGTTATCAAATTACCTTCCCCAGCAAATGACATCTAATTCTTCAGCTTCATGGAAAACATAAATGGTTGTAATCTCTTGTTCAAGAACTGGCACAGCATGGCACATATATTTATAAGAGTGCCCTGTGACCCTGAACTTTACCCTCAAGAACAGATCTTGTTTACTCTCCTAAGAATTGAGATTATTCACCACCATTTCCATTCACAACCAATATCTCTATTAGCTTTTAAGAATTATTGATCTCACGGTTCATGGGTTCGGGCCCCATGTCCGGCTCTGTGATGACAACTCAGAGCCTGGAGCCTGCTTCAGATTCTGTGTCTCCCTCTCTCTCTGCCCCTCCCCAACTCACTTGCACTCACACACTCACTCTCTCTCTCTCTCAAAAATAAATATTAAAAAATTTTATAAAAAGAATTATTGCTACATCCCTTCCCATATTTTCCCCCTCTCCAAATTCCTAGTTCCTGCCAACCTGTGGCAGAAGGAAATGAGTCAGTAAGCTGGCATGTCATTTAAGAAAGAGAGCCAACTTTAGATCTAAGATCTTTTCTTTGACTTCACTGCACTCTTCTACAATAGCCTAGATTTTCATAGTTAACTTTATTATTTTTAAAATCAACATCCTTTTCTGTAATCTCTTGATAATGTGGCTTACCATGATGTTAAGGCAGTAGAATACTAATTTGCCTTTTCATAAGATGTTGTGAAACTTGAGAGATGTATAAGGTGTATGGATACATTCACACATGTCAAGCGCTAAAAGCCAGACCTGACAGTAAATGGGTACTAGAAAAGTGTTAACATTTACCATCTTCATCATCATCATCACGTTAAGCCTCAGTGTTGTACTTTTTTTGACACTGTCTTTTTAGGTCAGAACTGATGATCCAGACATTCCAGAAGAATATCAGGCCAGCAATGACTATCAAGCTGTGGCCTACTCATCACATAGCCAAAGTTTCCTTTCCCTTAGCTGGACAGACAGTCACAAGAGTTTGCTTGTGGGAGAACATCTGAGCATAACTATTACCCCTGAAAGTCCATATGTTGACAAGATTACACACTACAATTACTTGGTAAGCTCAATAATATCTTACATTCACCTAGACCCCTGCTTGCAACATTTTCTTTACTTATGCAAATAATCCTTTAAATGATTTCTTACGTGACACAAAGTAGTACCCAATTGATATTTAGTGAATGAATGGATGAACTCACATAGCACTTTATAATCTGTAAAGTACGTTCACAAACATCCTCATAACAGAGCTTACAACACTTCTTTGAGCTCGGTGGACAATGGAACCAATTGGAGAGGTCAAATGACCTGCCATTTGCACAAGTTTTTAGTGGTATGTTTAGGATTTTGTTCAAGGTCTTCTGAATCTTGGACTGATATTCTCTGCACAGCATGATGCCAAGAGTTGATCACAGCCTTCATTCAGTCTCCAGACTAGTCAGTGACCTCAGCAATGTTTCATGACCAACCAGAGCATTACCACGTTTTAGATTGCTAGGCCTTGCTAACATTCCTTAAGAACATGCCCTATTTACAAAGGGAAGACTTTAAGTCCTGTGCTCAAGAACAGATATAATGATTCCAGACATTGCTCACTGCTGTTTAAAATACAAACTAACAAGGATGGCAGCATGATATATTGAAAAAGACATGGGCTTTGAGTCAGGAAGATCAGAGTTCACTTCCTGGATAAATCCATGTTCAAAAACAAACCTTTAGAAGCAAATAGTTCCAACCTATCTTATTTTCAGTGACTGATAACATCATCTTGTTTACTAAGCCATTTGTTGGAGTAAGCAATAACCTTATCAATTCTGAGAGAGGAAACTTTTAAGATAATGGGGCAGTTTACATCTCTGAGCTTCAATTTCTACAACTTCTAAATGGGCTAATAAATAAAATCACAACATACAATTGTGAGGATTAAATATGTCCATCTATATATACCTAATGCATAGTAGATGCCCAAGGGATAGTAATTCTTTTTTTTTTTTTTAATCACTGCCTAATTACTAGTCCAACTTTAAGCCCACTTTGATAGATGTTTGTTGTTATGTATTTTTAGATTTCATCTAAGGGCAAAATCATACACTTTGGCACAGAGAAGAAACTCCCAGGTTCATCTTACCAGCTTTTAAACCTTTCTGTGACTCAGCACATGGTTCCTACAGCCCGTCTCCTGGTATATTACATTGTCACAGGACAGCAGATAACAGAATTAGTATCTGACTCAGTCTGTCTAAATATTGAAGAAAAATGTAGAAACCAGCTTCAGGTGAGCCACAGATACTCTCCCTAGCCTGAGGTCATCCTGAGTAACTGTTTAATTTCACCTTGAGATACTTTTTTTTTTTTTCAATTCATTTTAGATCTATCTGTCTCCAAATAAAGATATATATTCTCCAGGCGAAATTGTATCTCTCACTATGGAAACTCAGTCAGAATCGTGGGTAGCGTTATCATCAGTGAGCCGTGCTATAAATAGCATCCAAGAAAGAAGCAAAAATAACATGGAAAGAGTTAAGTAGAATAAATGCTGTCATTCCTGTCGTTACATGTCGTTACATGTTACTACATGGCTTGGGGCCAGGTGGCCACCATGGTTCTCTCGTTGTTCTGTGGGTCACTCATGGGAGAAAAATAAAGGAAAAAGATATGGTTGCACCAATGTCTATCTTCTCAGCTAAATTTAAGGATAGCAATACCAGCAGCTAACATTCATTGAACACTATATGCTGAGTATTATTGTAAGACCTTTTAATTTATTATACCATTGAATATTTACAACAATCCTATGAGATAAAAACCAACAATAAAGATATTTAAAATGTATTGAGTCCTTATTAGTGGAGTTCCTGTGTTATGAATGAGGAAAACTAAGTCACAGATTAGGTTTCTTGTGACCTGAGTAGAATCCCAGCACAGGATATAATCGAGTGAACTTGTTTGATCTGAGTTACCCATTTTGGTTATCCTTGTAGACATATAAAGGATAATTATCCAGTTAACTTACTCTCCAATTTATTTTGTTTTATATGAACACACTTTATTTGGGAATATCTTCAGTTAAATGCTAAAATGCAGTTTTCTCTGGGAATAAACTAAAATGTAATTAGATCCACATTCAGAAACCTTCAGATGCAATCAATTCCAAACTAGCTTCCTTTCAGAGACTGATGACATCATCTTGTTTACTAAACCATTTTTTAAAAATAACATTATTGACTCTCAGAGAGCAGCATGTGTGTGTGGATACCTTTTAAGCAAATCTATAAAATTAAATTTCTTACTCCAGGGCAGGGATATGAATAAAAATGCTGGGGTTTTGGTGAGTTGAATATATTAAAGTCAATGAAGAGGTATGGAGAGGGGAGCAGAAAAACAGGGGGTGGGGGAGACTATGTGGCTACACATGAACACTGTGGCCATGAATAGTTGTTTTGTCTGCTCCTGCCCCTTCCCCAGCCACTCTCAGGGGCCACTTGGGTCATGGTCACAAACTCTTTAGAGGAGCCAACCCTCGTCATCAAAAATAATTCGTTGGGTATCCCTAACCGATTTTAATGCTCTGCCCTATCTTGGGTAGAGCAACAAAACCTGGGGTCTGATCCCCCTCAAAATTTAGAGCTAGAAAAGGACCATGAGAGGTAGTGAATGTTTTGTTTACTCATTCATTCACTCATACATTTATGCAAAGGATATTTTATTAATTCAATGTACTGTACAAAGCTCTAAGAAGGGAGAATGTAAGCTGTTTCCTAAGAACTTCCATATCAAAGTTATATTGAATGAATTTTGATAGTATATATTCAAGAAGTGAAACCCAGTGAAATGCAGTAGGGTTTGGGAAAACCAGGGAACTAGATTTTAACATTTAATAAGTGAGAGACTTACAACTAACATTATTCCCAATTCAAGAATTCCTCATAATGGCCACTAACTGTTTTTCTTGGGGGGTGGGGAATGATTTCCTTTCTCAACAGATACTGCAATCTTTTGATAAAAGTGGCCAGGACTGTGGAGGAAGTGGTGGCAGGAATAATGCTGAAGTGTTTGACTTAGCAGGACTCACTGTCCTCACCAATGCAAATGGAGATGACTCCCAACAAGATGGTAATTAACTGTTTTCAACCAACTAACCTGAATATTCTTGTTATGAAAATACACCTCTTTTCCTGGACCCATACTAATTCTCCCTCCAAATCCTCCCTGTTCCACTGCGTAATTTTTTTAACTAAAAAAAAAAAAAAATTATATTATTGTGGTAAAACTCCGAACATGAGATCTACCCTACTAACAAATTAAGTGAGGTGTTAAATACATTATTGTTGACTATAGGTACAGTGTTGTACAGCAGATCTCTAGAGCTTATTTGTCTTGCTTAACTGAAACTTTATTCCTTTTGATTAGTGACTCCCTATTGTCTCCTCCCCCAGCACTTGGCAACCACCATTCCACTCTTTGATTCTATGAACTTGGCTATTTTAGATAGCTCATATAAGTGGAACCATGCTGGTTGCCTTTCTGTGACTGGCTTATTTCATTTAGCTTAATATCTTCAAGGTTCATCCATGTTAGTGCATATTGCAGAATTTTCTTCTCTTTTAAGGCTAAATAGTATTACATGTATACATATGCACACATATATGTTGTGTGTGTGTGTATATATATATATATATATATATATAATGTGTGTGTATATATACATACACACAATGGAATACTATACATACACACTCTTTATTCATTCCTCTGTTAATGGACATGTAAGTTGTTTCTATACCTTGGCTTTTGTGAATGGGTGTTACAATGAACACAGGAGTGCTAGCATCTCTTTGAGATCCTGATTTCAGTTCTTCTTAGATAAGTATCTAGAAGTGGGATTGCTGGATCATATGGTAGTTCTATTTTTATTTTTTGAAGAACTTCTATACTGTTTTTCACTGCCTTACTTTGCATTCCCACCAACAGTGTGTAAGGGTTCAAGTTTCTCCACATTCTTGCCAACATTTATCTTTTTTTTTTTCATCATACCCAGTTTGACAGATGTGATTTCTCATTGTGGTTTTGATTTGCATTTCTCTGATTAGTAACATTGAGTATGTTTTCATATACCTGTTGGCCATGTGTATATCTTCTTTGGAGAAATATCTATTTGAGTCCTTAACCCACTTTTCAATTGGGTTATTAGGTTTTTTGCTATTGAGTTCTAGGAGTTCTTTATGTATTTTGGAGATTAACCTTTTATCACATATATAGTTTGCAAATATTTTCTTCCCTTTCCTAGGTTGTCTGTTCACTCTGTTAGTTGCTTCCTTTGCTGTGCTTTTTAGTTTGATGCGATTCTACTTGTTTATCATTTCTGTTGCTGTTCTTTTGTTGTTTTATTTTTATTTTGTAGCTCCTCAGAAATATTTTTTTTCTTCAAATTTTTATTTAAATTCTAGTTAACATACAGTGCAATACTGGTTTCAGCAGTAGAATCCAGTGATTCATCACTTACATACAACACCCAGTGTTCATCATAACAAGTGCCCTCAATACCCATCACCCATCTAGCCCATCTTCTACCCACCTCCCTCCATCAACCCTGTTTGTTCTCTATTGTTAAAAGCCTGTTATGACTTGTTTCCCTCTCTCTCTTTCTTGCCCCCCTCCCAAATGTTCATCTATTTTGTTTCTTAAATTCCACATATGAGTGAAATCATATGGTATTTGTCTTTCTCTGACTTATTTCACTTAGCATAATACACTCTAGCTCCTTGCATGTCATTGCAAATGGTGTTGCTGTGCTTTTGATATCATATCCATGAAATCATTGTTATAACCAATGTCATGAAGCTTTTCCCGTATGTTTTCTTCTAGGAATTTGGGGGTTGTAAATCTTACATTTACATCTGTATTCATTTTGAGTTGATTTTTGTATATGGTATAAAACAAGGGCCCAATTTTATTTTTTTGCATGTGGGCATCCTATTTCCCCAACACCATTTGTTAGAGAACTTCCTTTCTCCATTGTGTACTCTTGGCACTCTTATTGAACATCAGTTGGCCATATATGCATGAATTTGGTTTTGGGCTCTCTATTCTGTTCCATTGGTCTGCATGTCTGTCTTTATATTGGGATCATACTGTTTGATTACTGTAGCTTTGTAATATCGCTTGAAATCAGAAAGTGTGATACCTCCAGCTTTATTCTTCTTTCTCAGGATTGATTTGGCTATTCATGGTCTTTTGTGCTTCCATATGAACTATAGAATTGCTTTTTCTGTTTCTATGAAAAAAATGCCATTGGGATTTTGATAGATTGCATCTAATCTGTAGATCATTTTTGGTAGTACAAACATTTTAACAATATTAAGTCTTCTAGTCTGTGAACATGGGATGTCTTTCCACTTGTTTGTGTCTTCTTTCATTTCTTTCATCAGTATTTGTAGCTTTCAGCAAGCACATATTTCACCTCCTTAACTAGGTTTATTCTTAAGGTTTTTATGGAGAGGTACTATTGTAAATTAAATTGTTTTCATAATTTCATCTTTGGATAGTTCATTGTTACTGTATAGAAACACCACTGATTATGTAGATTTTTTTTTATCCTGCAACTTTACTGAATAAGTTTATTAGTGTAATAGTTTTTTATGCAGTTTTTTTTTCTATATATATATAACCATTTTATCTGCAAACAAGGACAATTTTACTTCTTCCTTTCTGGTTTGAATGCCTTTTTTTTTTTCTTGCCTAATCACTCTGGCTAGAACTTCCAGCAGTATGTTAAATCGAAATGATGGAGAGTAGGAATCATTATCTTGTTCCTGATCTTAAAGGAAATGCTTTTAAGTTTTTTCTTTTTTTTTTTTTATGTTTATTTATTTTTGAAAGAGACAGAGACAGAGACAGAATGCGAGTGGGTTAGGGGCAGAGAGAGAAGGAAACACAGAATCCAAAGCAGGCTCCAGGCTCTGAGCTGTCGGCACAGAGCCCGACAAGGGGCTCGAAATCATGAGCTGTGAGATCATGACCTGAGCCAAAGTCAGACACTCAACCGACTGAGCCACCCAGGCGTCCCCTTTTCAGTTTTTTACTATTTAGTATGATGTTAGTATGATGTTACCTGTGGGCTTTTTATATATGGCCCTTATTATGTTCAGGTACTTTCCTTCTATTCCCAGTTTGTTGAGACTTTTTTATCATGAAAGAATGATGAATTTTGTCAAATGCTTTTTCTGTATCTATTGAGACAATTGTGTAGCTTTTATTTCTTTATTTGTTAATGTGGTGCATCACTGTGCATCACATTAATTGATTTTCATATGTTGAACCACCCTTACATCCCAGGTATAAATCCCACTTAGTCATGGTGTTTGAGCCTTTTCCTATGCTGTTGGATTCTGTTTGCTAGTATTTTGTTGAGGATTTTTGTACTTATATTCATCAAGGAATTTTATTTTCTTGTTGGTGTCTTTGTCTTTGGTATCATGGTAATTTCGGCCTCATTAAATGAGTTTGGAAGTGTCCTTCCTATTTAATTTTGAGAAGAGTTTGAGAAGGCTTAGAATTAATTTATCTTTACATGTTTGGTAGAATTCACCAGTAAAGCCATCTGGTCTGGACTTTTGGTTTCAGGGAGGTTTTTGATTATTGACCCAAAATCTGTACTAGTTATAGGGGTTTTTGGTCCTTCTGTTTATTCATGATTTAATCTTGGTAGGTTTTATGTTTCTAGGAATTTATCCATTTAATTTCTTCTGAGTCATCCAGTTTGTTAGCATGCAACTGTTCATAGTAGTCTCTTATGATCCTTTTTATTTGTGTGGCATTAGTTGTAACGTCTCCTTTTTCATTTCTGATTTTACTTATCTGGGTCTTCTTTTTTTCTTAGTTAGGCTAGCTAAAGGTTTGCCAATTTTGTTTATCTTTTCAAAATACCAAGTCTTAGTTTCATTGATTTTTTTTTAATATTTCATTTATTTCTGCTGTAATCTTTGTTCTTTTCTTTTTTTTCCTTTTTTTTCTTTTTTTACTGACTTTGGATTTGGCTTGGTCTTTTTCTAGTTCTTTGAGGTGTAACATTAGGTTGTTTATTTGAGATCTGTCTTCTTTCTTAAATTAGGCATTTATTGCTATGAACTTCCCTCTTAGTACTGCTTTTGCTGCATCCTATAAGTTTTGGCATGTTGAATTTTTGTTTTTATTTCTTGAAGTATTATCTAATTTCCTTTTTGATTTCTTCTTTGACCTAATGGTTGTTCAAGAGTATGCTGTTTAATTTGCACATACTTGTGAATTTTCCAGTTATCCTTCTGTTATTGATTTCTAGTTTCATTCCATTGTGGTCATAAAAGATACTTGGTATAATTTCAGTCTTCTTAAATTTGTTAAAACTTATTTTGTGACCTAACATATGACCTATTCTGGAGAAGGATTGTGTGCCTTTGAGATTAATATATATTCTGCTGTTGTTGGTTAGTATGCTCTGTATATGTTTGTTAGGTCTATTTGGTCTATAGTGTTGTTTAAGTCCTCTGTTTCCTTATTGATTTTCTGTCTGGATGTTCTACCCATTATTGAAAGTGTGATACTGAAGTCTCCTCCTATTACTATATTGCTGCCTATTTCTCCCTTCAGTTCTGTCAATATTTGCTTTATATATTTAGGTGTTCTGATGTTAAATGCATATTTAGTTGTTATATATTCCTGTAGATTGACTTTATTTATTGTTATATAATATCCTTCTTTGTCTCCTGTGACAATTTTGACTTAGTCTATTTTGTCTAAGTATAGCTGCCCTTGCTCTCTTTTGATTACCATTTGCATGGGATATCTTTTTCCATCCTGTACTCCCACAACACATTTCTGATAAGCTTGTCAGCGCTCTGCATGAACCCCCCCCTCCCCCCACCAGCATCCAAGTCCCTCTAAGGAAGAGAGTCTGTCTTAGGTCAGATTAAACTGCTTCCGGATCTTTTCCTTTCTTGCATTGCTTTAGGGCCCTGTGATCAGACCTCACTTGTCTTCTTGGGGAGCACCTTAGAGGGGGTCTTGTTCTGTCAAACCACTGCCTAGCATGCCTTTCTCCTATCATTTGCCATAAAAGCTCAAGCTTCACCTTTTCTTCCAACCCCATTCCCAAGCTGGCCTTGGAGAATGACCTCTCCCCCTGTGCTAATTTGCTAGGGTTGTCAAAAGAAAGTAGTACAGACCAGGTGGGTTAAACAACAGAAACTGTTTCCCCACAGTTTTTAGAGACTAGAAGTTCAAGGTCAAGGTGTCAGTAGGATAGATTTCTTCTAAGCCTTCTCTCCTTGGCTTACACATGGCCACTTTCTCCCTGAGTCCTCACACAGTCTTTCTTCTGTATGTATCTGTGTTCTAATCTCTTCTTATAAGGACCCATCCAATATTGGATTAAGGCCCACCCAATGACCTAATTTAACTTTAATTACCTCTTTAAAAACCTCATCTCCAAATATTTTGAGGTACAGGGGGTTAGGGCTTTAACATATGAATTTGTGGAGGAAAACTGGATTCAGCACCTAACACTCCCTTTATACTCAGTCTGACATTATAATATTAATAGAATGAAACCCCTATTTCATGTCTTTCTTTTTTAATTCTTTTTTAATTTTAATTTTATTTTTTAAATTTATATCAATTAGTTAACATATAGTGCAACAATGATTTCAGGAGTAGATTCCTTAATGCCCCTTACCCATTTAGCCCTTCCCCCCTCCCACAACCCCTACAGTAACCCTCTGTTTGTTCTCCATATTTAAGTCTCTTATGTTTTGTCCCCCTCCTTGTTTTTATATTATTTTTGCTTCCCTTCCCTTATGTTCATCTGTTCTGTGTCTTAAACATCATATGAGTGAAGTCATATGATGTTTGTCTTTCTCTGAGTGACTAATTTTGCTTAGCATAATACCATCTAGTTCCATCCACATAGTTGCAAATGGCAAGATTTCATTCTTTTTGATTGCCAAGTAATACTCTGTTGTGTATATATACTGCACCTTCTTTATCCATTCATACATCGATGGACATTTGGGCTCTTTACATACATTGGGTATTGTTGATAGTGCTGCTATAAACATTGGGGTGCATGTGCCCCTTTGAAACAGCATCCCTGTATCCTTGGATAAATACCTAGTAGTGCAATTGCTGGGTCTAGGGTAGTTCTATTTTTAATTTTTTGAGGAACCACCATACTGTTTTCCAGAGTGGCTGCACCAGCTTGCATTCCCACCAACAATGCAAAAGAGATCTTTTTTCTCCACATCCTCACCAACATCTGTTGTTGCCTGAGTTGTTAATGTTAGCCATTCTGACAGGTGTAAGGTGGTATCTCATTGTGGTTTTGATTTGTATTTCCCTGATGATGAGTGATGTGGAGCATTTTTTCATGTGTCAGTTGGCCATCTGGATGTCATCTTTGGAGAAGTGTCTATTCATGTCTTTTGCCCATTTCTTCACTGGATTATTTGTTTTTTGGGTGTTGAGTTTGTAAGTTCTTTATAGATTTTGGATACTAACCCTTTATCTGATATGTAGTTTGCAAATATCTTCTCCCATTCTGTTGGTTGCCTTTTAGTTTTGCTGATTTTTTTCTTTGCTGTGCAGGAACTTTTTATTTTGATGAGGTCCCAATAGTTCATTTTTGCTTTTGTTTCCCTTGCCTCTGGAGACATGTTGCGTAAAAAGTTGCTGCGGCCAAGATCAAAGAAGTTTTTGCCTGCTTTCTCCTCAAGGATTTTGATGGCTTCCTTACATTTAGGTCTTTCATCCATTTTGAGTGTATTTTTGTGTATGGTGTAAGAAAGTAGTCTAGGTTCATTCTTCTGCACGTCGCTGTCCAGTTTTCCCAGCACTACTTGCTGAATAGACTGTCTTTATTCCATTGGATATTCTTTCCTGCTTTGTCAAAGACTCGTTGGCCATACGTTTGTGGGTCCATTTCTGGGCTCTCTATTCCATTGATCTGAGTGTCTGTCTTTGTGCCACCATATTTCGTGTCTTTAGATTTTTGTGATATCCAGGATAGGGACAGGATTTTACTGATTTTTGTTGTTTCCTAACTGGGAGACAAAAGGCACTCACTAAGTGTTTTAAACAGATGAACAAACACCTTAAAAATGTGTGTATTTTATACTTTCTGTCTTATTATGTTTGAGCTTCTTGAGGTCATACTTTAGCAAAGAACAAATAATAATAGTGCTACCAAAAAATATGCTTACTCTGCTCTTGTACATCTCTGTTTTACTGGTATACAGATCAGAATTGTTGTGGGAAATAGAACAGATCTCTGATAAAATATACACAGTCCATTCTGTGAACTGGTAATTTAGATAATCTGATGGAAGCATTTATTCTGAGGTATGTTCTCTCTCTCTCTCTGTTTTTTAACAGGTGGATTGTTGGAGAAAATTCCCAGATCAAGAAGAGAATTAAAAGACAAAATAGAAAGTCTAGGTGCTCCAAAGCTTCATGTTGTTTTCAGAGGTTATGATGAAGTGATCCAGGATCTGCTACATTTTCTCATTCTAGCTAATTGATGTAGACCAGATGAAAAGATCTGTAGGCACACCCAGCTTTTGATCTTTATACAAGTGAAGCAAACTGGTTAAATTAACACACATTTACTCCACAGAGTCTTAACTTAAAAGAAATAAGTCACCACCATAGCCATTCTCTATAGTGATGATAGAGTTGCTTTCTAATTGTCTCATAGATCTTCCTCTCTCTCAGAGTAGCTGGTGCAGCAGTTAAATGTGTAGCTTCCCCCCACATTCTCACAAAAGCTAGGTCTGATGAACTTTAGGTTGAAATAATAGCTAATGCTAATTGAGGACTTACTACATGCCAGGCACTGTGGATGCCTCATAATCAGATTTTCTCCTTGAACACTCACACCAATCTCATGCAGTAGGTACTCTTATTACCTCCATTTTCCAGATGAAATCATCAAGGCCCAGAGAATTTAATAATAAGTAACATGTCCAACATCTTGGGCTAGTGAGTGGCATAGGTCAGATTGACAGCAAAGCCCACTACACTAGTGACTGCTATGCTCTGCTGGGCACTACTTCTATCCTTTGGATGTTCAGAACCTGTCCGGGTCACTTGGAAGATGTGTGTGAAAGAACTGATTTTAAATTTTTTTTTTTAACATTTATTTATTTTTGAGACAGAGAGAGACAGAGCATGAACGGGGGAGGGGAAGAGAGAGAGGGAGACACAGAATCGGAAGCAGGCTCCAGGCTCTGAGCCATCAGCACAGAGCCTGACGCGGGGCTCGAACTCACGGACCGCGAGATCGTGACCTGAGCTGAAGTCGGACGCTCAACCGACTGAGCCACCCAGGCGCCCCTTTTTTTTTTTAACATTTATTTATTTTTGAGACAGAGAGAACTGATTTTAATATAGCACTTACATTTTAGTTATACTATCAATAATGTCAAGGAGTTACAGATATTGTGCTTTAATAATAACGATGATAATATTGTCATTAGTATATGTCATTAATAATAATGATGATAATATTATTAGTAGAATAATGATGATAATAACATTATTATAAAGTGCCCCCCCCTCCATTTCCAGCAGGGATTTGCCACAAAAGCATATTTAGAAGGCATCACATAAAACAATGTGTTTAGAATTAGAGACCAGGTTTGGGTCTCAGCTTACTACTTACAGCTAAGTGATCTTTGCCAAGTTAAATGGAGATAATTTCTCTCTGCTCTGCTCTTAGGAGAATTGAATGAGATTGTACAGGTAAAGCACTTAGCTTAGGAGGAACTAATGTTTAATGCTTTATTCTTTTTATTTTTTATTGCTTTAAATTTTTTGATGCCTATTTATTTTTGAGTGAGAGAGAGAGAGAAAATGAGCGAGGGGGGGTACAGAGAGGGGGAGACACAGAATCCAAAGTAGGCTCCAGGCTCTGAGCTGTCAGCACACAGCCTGATGCAGGGCTCAAACCCACGAACCGCGAGATCATGATCTGAGCCGAAGTCAGATACTTAACCAAATGAGCCACCCAGGTGCCCCAGTGCTTCATTCTTTTTAAAGCTCTTTCTCACCAAAGCCACACTCTGACCTAGGCGAGGCAGAAACTATAATCATTTAATGATGGCAAAATGAGTTTCTGAAAACTGAACTGTGTTGCAAAGTCCAGATGACTGGAAGAGGTGGGGCAGCCACAAGTGTCAGAGCTTCTATTCTGTGGCCCGGTGGCCTTTTCACTACATGATGCTGCCTCTTAGCTCCAGCCCTGGCTCTGCCTCTTAGCAGCTACACCCACTGGGACAAGTCTCTTCCCCTATCTGTACTATTATTTCCTCCTTTCTAAATGACAGAGAAGACATGACCAAGTCTAAGGTCCCTTTCAGAGGTTTTTGAGAAAACAGGAGGGCAACCTCAGTGAAAGTTCTTACTCTTCTATTCACTCACTCAGACTTTGTGCTGGCTGGCTTGACCTTCTTGGCCAAATGCGTGTCCAGGGGAGAGTGACTGTACAAGGGCTTTGAAACCATATCCTGTGAAAACATGGTCCAAATAAAAAAGCCTCAGGGATGTTTACTGGAGAAAGGATGAGATTTAGGTAGTCATGATGACTGTCTTCAAATATTCAAGGAAGTGGTGGTTATGTGACTTTTGCCGCACAAGAGGATTAATTCCATGAGTACCTATAAAGAAATAGGAGTGAGAGTTTCATTTAGAAGATGTCAGGAAGAGTTTTTCAGCAATTAGAGCTCTCTGAAATGGAACAGGTTGCCTGGAGAGGAAGCAGCTTCCCATTCTGATAGCTGTTCCAGCAGGGGCTGGTTGACCATTGGTGCTGGAGCAGGTGGAGCCGGGGGTACCAGGGAGGAAGATGAACCAGAGCCTGTAAGTCTAGCCCCAAGACTTTGAATCTGTACTTGACTAAGAGCAGTTGTATTATCTCAGCATCCACGTTCAAACACCCATTGATCCAGAAGTGCTGTTATGACGGAGCCTTTAAAAGCGAGGAGAGCTGTGAGCAGAGAGCTGCAAAGATTACCCTTGGCCCACGTTGTTCCAGAGCTTTCTCTCAGTGTTGTGAGCTGGCAAATCAACTGCGGGAGGAGTCGTCTTACATCTATGTAATGATCGGAAGGCATGGTATGTGTAAGCGCTCCTGTTTTGTGTGCAGTACAGTAAGAGGGTGCAAGCAGAGTCTGTGCTGCCATTGGAAGAAGTACTTCCAAATTTGGCTTAACGTAGAAAAGATGCAGTATGAACTCCTGCCAATTTGGCTTGAAAAAAACAGAGTGGTCAGTGGCAATAATACTAGTTTGGATACCACTAGTCCCACTAGTCCCACTGACCAGCTTTCTCACTAACTCAGTGTGTAGCGTTGCAGGTCGTTATTTATCCTCTAAGAGCTAGTTTGTGAAATGGAAATACTTGACTGAATGATTCTGTGATACTCATTTTGTACACACATCATTGACCACACGTGATACTTAAAATCTTGCAAAGAGACAATAGGAGACTTTGAAGAATCAAAATATCATTATTGATTCTGCCACAAAGCATAACCAATAAGAAATTTTAGAAGTAGAAGAAATCCCAGTAAGTATATACAGAAAAGAGTTTCCTTTACTTCAATTTCACATGGTTTCATGGAAAATCCTGATGAGTACAACTTTTATTACAATTTTGTTTAATTTTAATAACCTTTTCCACCTATTTTCCTTGGTTTCATCTGAATTCTACTTAACTGCCGTACTGTGCAGATCATGCAAGTTAAGGCATGATCATAATTAAGAAAAATATTGCAATGTTAGTTTAATCTGGTACTTTAAAAAGTCAGTAACTTTTACATTATTTTTTAAATTTTTTATTTTTAGTTTTTTTCCAATTTTATTGAGATATAATGGGCATGTAACATTGTGTAAGTTTAAGGTGCACAACATAATCATTTGGATTATGTATATATAGTGAAATACTGTTTACCACAGTAAGTTCAGTTACCATCTGTTACCTCTCATACTTACAATTTTTTTCCTTGTTAAATAACGTTTTTTAAAAAAAGGATTTAATAACTTCCTTGTGCCTTTCCATGAACTTATAAAAGTGTATAAACAAGTAAGCTCTGAAAAATATAAAACTTATCTTAAATCTTCAATAATAGTGATATTGCTGGGAAATCCTCCTAAACTTATGAATGCATATGACTGAAATATTTTTATTAGTTAAAAAATATATGAAAGTAATATAACCTATAGGCTTAAAAAAGCCAAATAATAAAATTTAGAGGAAAATCAACAAAATATTTAAGAATAAACATTAAAAAAACCTCTGTCAGTTGACTGTTTTCCTTATGCTCTGCCTTGTGTTCCCATGACTTATTCATTGCCTGTCTGGAGAGGCCTGTACCTCCCTCTCCCCTTCACCCATTTTTTTCTAACTCCTTACTTCCTTTCCCTCTGGCAACCATCAGTTTGTTCTCTGTGTTTATAGGTCTGATCCTGCTTTTTGTTTGCTTACTGTTTTGTTTTTGTTTTGTTTAGATTTCATTTATGAGTGGAATCATATGATATTTGTCCTTCTTAGCCTGACTTATTTTACTTAGCATAATGCCTTCCATGTTAATTCATGTCCTCTTTTCTTCTCAAACTTGCCAGAGCTTTCTCTATTATATTGATCTTTTTAAAGAAACAATTTTTTAGTTTTGTTGATTACGTCTATAATTGTTTTCTGTTTTCTATGGTCCATTAATCTCTACCTTCTACTTTTTTTTTTGTTTTATTGTTCTTTTTCTAACTTTGTAAGTTAATTACATTTATTTTTCATATGAATTATTGATTCAGGTGTCTCCTTGTATTTTTTACAGTTTTTGCTGTATGTACTTCAAAGCTGTGTTCTTAAGTACATAGTTTATGCCTACCTCTTCTTTTTAGCAAAATGTAACTCTATCCACATAAAATATTTTTTTACCCCATTTAAATTGTTCTGAATTCTGTTTTATCAGAAGTTATTATTTAACTACTAGCTTATCTTTTGTCAGTATTTGGCCTGTATATGGTTTTCTATCCCTTTATTTTAAACTTTTCTCTATCACTTGGTGCTGTTGTATAGCTTTGAAATCTGTTTCTAGATAAGTTTTCTTTTCTTAACCTGTTTTGAGAATGTCTAACTTTTAATGAGATATTTTAAGCCCACTCAAGTTTGTTGAGTTTATACTTATTCATGTTCTCTTATATTTTCTGTTGAATATGCTTCCTTATTGTTTCTTTATATCCTTTCTTGCCTTTTGTTGATTTGCTTTGGCACATCCTTCTTTACACTTTTATTAAAAATTTGCACTAGTTTTCATTACAAAAACAATACTGTAATAGAAGAGTGTGAAGTACAAGGTAAAAAATTCCTGACCCCTGTACTACCTGCTTTCTAAGTAAGACATTGCCATTGTTTAAAATTTTTTATCTTTCCAGAAATTTTCTCTGCCTATGTAAATATTTATGTCTACACCTGTAGCTGTATCTCTGTATAACATTTTGTTTCATACCTATGGGAGGTTACCATTTTGTATTTTGCTTTTTGCATGTAATGCATATTAGACACCTTAAATCGAGGATTTTATTTTCCTATTTTGATATTACAAAAATTAAATGTTTGATCAAATTCATTAAAATATTTAATTTAAAGTTAGCCATCATGCTTTAACATGTAACTCTATTGTATGTTATGTTTACCCTGTGTTTTCATATTTTTAATTTAGATGCACCAAGCAGGTACCCAATAATGTTTGAAAGAAGCACTTTTTTAGAAAATGGGTTATGGGAAGTACATCATGTCTCTAAAAGGTATTCTAAGATTTTATTGTCTTTTCCTTAGGAATTTTAAAAAATATTCAAATATGATATATAAGTGGTCTGTCAATCTTCAGAGGGTTTCTTTGATTATTAAAGATAGCACTGACATTTGATCAAGGTTAATTTGGTTGGCTATTGGGCTGGTTTTTCCCTCAATAGCAGGGTTAACTGAGCACTGATCTTTGTAGAAGAATGCCATTTCACTTACCTTGAACTTATACTGAGCATGTAGTTTGGGGTGATATCTGGGCATTATACTTCTGTGTAGTTGTTTCAGTACTTCTAAACAGACTCTGGTGTGTAACAAACACACCAACAATGTATATCATCCATTTAGGTATCTATTTCCAATGCTATTTATCTACGTAACAAATAAGAGAAGGCAATATTTTCCTTGTATTATAAACACACGCTGTAAATAACCGATTATCCATAAGGTTTGAGAAATGATCAGTTTTTCTTCAGTTATCATGACTTGCCTGATGTCCAACAGCCTCCTTTACTCTCCCTGATTCCAGCTCTATCCACTTCTCTGATTCACTCTCTAAGCACAGCCACCCATGTGATTATGTTAAAATCCAAATCTGATCATGCCATTTCCCCACCTAAAACCATTTCTCCATGACCCATCAGGCAAAATCAATGTAGATTAAGACCCTCTCATCCACTGCTCTTGCCAATGGCTCCAGCCCATCTCCCAGCAGCCCTTGCCACTATCCTTTATTGTGCCCTCTGTGCTCCAGCAGTACTTGGTCTGTGCAGTTTTCTTAACTTTTCCTGGAAATCCTCTTTCTTAACCCTCCACTCCTAACAAAAGGCATTTCACATTTGACAACCAACTCAGACACTGGGTTCACCAGAAAGTGGCCCCCAAAGAATTAAATACTTACCTCTCTGCGTTCTTACTGTAGTTTGTACATGCTTGTATTGAAGCCCTTATTACCTCTGTGATCATGTATTTGTTTACATATTTCTCTCCTCTTCTAGAATAAGTTATTTGAGGCAGACAGCTTGTTACTTATCCCTGTATTTAGTCTTAGGACTGTGCCATGCACATGATAGGCACTTAGGAAATGTACTGTTTAGACTAAATGGACTTTGATATTCTGAAAATTCCTTTTTGTTTCAATTGTTTTTGATTACTCTACTTTTCTTAAAAGTAGAGTTCACTGAAAATAATATAATTTTAATTTGATAACTTATCACAGCCCTTTCAGTTTATAAAAGTAGGGCAATGAAAACAAAACATGGGAGTATGTTGAACCATGTCTTAATCCATCTGGGCTGCTATAACAGAAAACCACTGACTGGGTGACTTATAAACAAGACATTTATTTCTCATAGTTATGGAGGCTGAGAAGTCCAAGATCAAGGCACTGGCAGATTTAATGTTCAGTGAGAGCCCACTTTCTGGTTCACGGATAGCCATGACAGAAGGAATGAGGGAATTCCCCAGGACCTCTTCTGTAAGGACACTAATTCAGTTCATGAGGGCTCCACCCTCATGACCTGAGCACTTCCCAAAGATCTCCCGTCTAAATGCCATCACACTGGGGATTATATTTCAACATATGAATTTTGGGGGGGATGCAAACATTCAATCCATGCCAAACCATATGTATATGCCTGTAACCAAGCAGTCTTGACCCACACAGCAATTTCATATATTTCAACTTAATTGGTGTATAGGCAATTATCCTGAGAATGTAGGAGTCCCTTGTTGTCCTTTGTTCTTTTCTTGACTTTCTCCCCACCTATGGTCACTGATTTAACTTTGTTTTCTTGTGATTTGCTTCAAGAGCCCATATGTGAAAACTGTAAACATTTCTGATTAATAGACCATGTTAAATTGGTTCCAGGTTAACTAAGGCTCACCTGTGTGTGATAGCTGTGAAATATTTTATTTTCTAGGCATCAGATAGAGTTGACGCTACCTGATTCTCTAACTACCTGGGAAATTCAAGGTGTTGGCATCTCAAATCAAGGTAAACAGCTAGTATGATATACTGAATTAAGGAGCAGTTTATTCATTGCAATATGTTTATCATTTTATTGACGGTTTATCCAGAACTTTGGCAATAGCATATTTTAGACTCTCATTGTAAGCTCGTATGAAAAAGATTTATCTATATGTTTTTGAACATATTTTGTTCATTTAATGTTTTTGTAAGCCATCATTATATGAGCCACAGTTTGAAGTTCCTACTTTCCTAAAACTGTTATGATTTGCTGGGAGGTTGAGGTGGAAGATAAAAACAGGACTCATTACTGAGTTTTCCCTCAAACTATGGGTAACAGTGCAAATCAATATCATTTGTAAATTATTTTTAAGGATATTTATTTGAAGGGTGCCTGGGTGGCTCAGTTGGTTGAGCATCTGACTCTTGATTTCAGCTCAGGTCGTGATTCCAGGGTTGTGAGATCAAGCCCCACATCAGGCTCTGCCTGACCATGGAGCCTACTTGGGATTTTTTTTTTTTTTTCTCTCTCTCTCCCTTTCCCCAGCTCACACACCCCCATTTGTGCACACCTTCTCTCTCTCTCAAATTAAAAAAAAAATGTTATTTCATTTTTTATAATTCAATATTTCACCCATTAAATGGTTTCCATAATGTATTAATGTCTTTGGCTACACTGAAAAATAGAGACACTGAAAAATGGAGACAGACTGCTAAAAAAAAAAAAAAAAAAAAAACAACTATGCAATTTTGTAACCAGAGCACTAACAACAGCAACAAAAGAACAATAGTCTGATAAAGTTCCAAAGATATTAAATTCTAACAGAAAATGTTATAGCACATACAGTACTTTAATCTTTAAAAAGAACACAAGTAAAGGTAGCTAAACAGAAGGTTGTGTGAGGGATGGCTGTGGTGGCTGAGTTATGGAGAAATGTGTAGACGTCTGGGGAAGCTGATGGCCAAATGGAGCCGATGAAAATATGTGGGGCAAATGGACGTTGTGTCATAGTACTCGGTTCCTCATTTGCTGGCTGCTTTCAGCTGAGTAATGTACTTGTGTTCAGCTCCTATTACATGGTGGCCAAAAATATTGAAGTGTTAGGGGAAAAAGTGCACATGAATCACCAGGATGCATTGCCATCATTCCCTGATTTAGCAATCATTGCAAGCTAAGAACATTCAGGCCTATACCTGGAGCTGAATAGACTGTGCCTAAAAAAATGTTGTGCGTGTGTACTTAATATTTTTATCCAGTGCCTTAAGGAAATGATTTTCAGGCTAATGGAAGTTACTAATGTTTTGTTGTGGTGGTGGTGGCTGAAGTTCACAAACTAGTGGTGCAAATGTGAACACTGAGTGGATATTTGATGATACTAAAAACTCTCATTGTTTTTGACAGTGAGGTTAAAAAAACAGAAGTTATTGTCTTTGAGAGATATATGCTGAAATATTGACAGAGAAAATAATGTGATACTGAGATTTGCCTCAAGATATTTCAGGAAGTTCAGGAGAGATGGGTACAGAGGAAACAAAACTGGCCATGAGTTGATAATAATCACTGAGCTGGGTAGTGGGAACGTGGAGGTTCATTATGCCATTCTTTCTACTGTTTATATAAGTTTGATTTTTCCTATAACCAAAAGGGTACTTTTTTAACTTTACAAATAATCATAATAAGGCCTCTTTGTTTATGGCCATTATTTGAATGTTGAAGACAAAGGCCTGCCCGCCAGATAGCCCCGTGGCTCACTCTGCCACAGGTTCCGGGCTTCCCCTGACCAACCTGTGTACCGGACCTTATCTTCTTTATATGTGTCACTGCCTCATAGTTTATCACATATTGTTTATGTCTTCGTGACTAGAGGGAAGATTTTGCCTGTCTTGTTCACTGTTGTATCTGCATTAGCTAGAACAGTGGCCCGTGGTGGTAGACTAAGTATTGATTGATTCGAGAAATAAGCATCACTAAGTAGAACTTTCAAGAAGAAGAGAGAAATATAGGGGGAAAAAAAAGGAAACTCAATATCGTCTTTTTCTCTTCCTCCAAGTAAAATACAAGAATTTTGGAGAAGAAGAAGTACCCTGGGGGCCCCCTAATGTGCTTCTGTGCGCTGTCACCCCTCACAGGTCTGTGTGTTGCTGATGTGCTGCAGCTCCAGGTGCACAAAGACAGTTTCCTGGTCGGAGACAACAATGTGGCAAGAGTCAATTAAGAGGGACAGTTTCCCACACTAAAGTTCCTAAGTAAGTAGGTAAATATGTGGCACCAGAGTCAAGGGCTGAGAAATCTAATGGTAAATCCACTACACACAATTCACTTTAATGTGGCACGAACACTGCCCTTAATGCAAAAGGATCTGACATCAGGGAAGATTGGGGTGAGGGGGAAGGAGTGAGAGACTCTCAAGTTGTATATAATTAACGTATCACCAGAGAAAAGGAATGGAAGTTTAGGTGAGAATAAGGTCATATTTTTGTTGGGAATGGTGGGAGTTGAGGGAAGTCTTCCTTAAATTAATCCACAGAAGCACAAGACTGGTAGTTGCCAGTGGTGGGGTTGGGGGCTGCGAGAGATGTGGAGTAACTGCCTGATGGGTAAGGGCTTTTTGTTTTTTGTTTTGTTTTGTTTTTTGAGCAATGAAAATATTTTGGAATTAGATAAAGGTAGTAATTGCATAATATTGTGAGTGTCCTGAATACCACTGAATTGTTCACTTAAAAATGGTTAACTTTATGTTATATGAATTTCACCTCAAAACAAAGAAAAGTCTTGTACTAGCTAATGTTGGGGAGGGCAGTGGAAGTCCCCTCCTCTGTAAAAGTAGGAGGATTGGCAGATAAAATCATCTCTGTCCCACCCCCACATCACTCTGGACATTTGGAATGGATCTCAGAGAATGGGTAGGATTTTCACAAGTAGAAATAACGACTGGAGTATTTTATGATGATAAAACAGCATAAATATGGAAAGGGGAAACCATGGACAGTTTATTGCGGCCAGACCCTAGTAGGCTTAGAGGTAAACATTCTTTTGAACTTCTAAATTATTCCCAGAAGCAGACTAAAGGACCCTTCCCAGTCTTACAGTGAGTTGATGGCAGACCTAAACCTAGAACTTTGGTCTTTTGACTTTTAGGCTTGTGTTCTTTTCACTATAGAAAATAATCGATTCCATATGCTTTAGATCAACAAATTGGTCTTAAATAAATTGTACTAAGAGTTGCAGTATATTTAAAAATGAATATGTAATCCAGGAATTAAAACCCCAAATCTCAGTCTGGAATGACCATATAGTTAACACCAGTTTGTCTTTCAGAGTTCCAGTGAGAGCCATTTTCTTGGGGAACCTTCTATTAGCCCCAAGCCCTGATAGAACTGTTACTTTCCTTTCTATTTATCTCAAGTCTATCATTACACTCATAAGCATGCTTATATAGCTAATGTCTGTCTCTCCTACTAATCCGACCTAACATTTACTGAGGACTTAATCAAGGTCAGATCCATCCTAAGCTTTTTGCAAGAATTCATTTACCTAATTTTCACGAGAACCCTATGAAGTAGATATTTCATTTGTTCTCCCTTTACGGATAGAGAAACTGAGGCACACAGCGATTAATTTGTGCAAGTCAAACAGTGAGTAGCAGAACCAGGACCCAACCCCAGCAGACTCATTCACGAGTCCACACACTGAAGCTCCTCCCTGAGAGCAGCAGCGACTGTCACTATGATTGCATCCTCGGCACCTGCCTGCCCAGAGCGTGTGCACGACTGTCAAACAAACGCATGGTCTCAATGCGAGCTCAGGAATGGCTCATACTTGGCTGTGTAGCCTGAGCAAGTCACCTGGCATCTCTGAACTCAACATTTATCCTAACCACCATGTTTAGAGTTGTAAAGCCCAAATGAGATCATGGATGTGAAAACACCTTGCACAAGAATGAATGTTTAAATAAATACAAATGTACAGGATGACATAGTAAGGATGCTTCATAAATTATATTCTTCTAAATACTTTAATTATTTGAGAGAATCATAGATTTGGATTCACTTTTGTTCAAAAAGCATTTTAAGAAAAGTTCAGATAGAAGTCTTTTTCAGTGGCACGATTTGCCTCAATGAGACGCATTATTTGGTAACAATTCTCACTGGCTTGAGTAACCGGCCAGCAATGACAGCTAATTGCCTTTTGGACAGAGGCTTCACATAGATCTTAACTTCTTCCTTCATATATTGGAATAGGCTCGGTTTCATTTCCTTCAGAGTTCAGCATTCATAAGATTTATGTGTATTATTTATGCTTTTAATTAAGGCCTCAAGTAGAATAAAAGCACACTTAACCTTACTTGGGAATTGATTTCCATTTTAAAAACAGTAATGGGGTCACTCACTTTTGATTGGCTGTCCCAATTATAAACCCACTAAATAAATGGTTACCTAAAAAAAGAAAGAGGTTATTAAACAGATGAATCAAAAGCAGTGAACTGCTCCTATTTATGGTGCCCACTTTTATTTCTAATTTGTTTCTAATGCTTTTATTAGAAGTGAGGGCCCTGGAGCAAGCCCTGTAGTAGAGATCCAAACCTAGACATCAACCCCAAATTCTGGCACCATAACTAAACCTTCAGGTTTGTACTCAGCTCCTTGACTCCTTTGAAATACTATGGCAACTTGAAGTTATGGATTTCAAGTCATTCTATATTAAAGCAAGTAAAAAGAGGGAACCTCTCAGAGACAAATTCATTGCCAGTGTTCATTCAGCCCACAGTTATTAGCATTGACTCAGGTGGCGGGCACTGAGATGGCAATAAGAAGTGACTGCTGAAGCAGAAAAACAGAAAAATTCCGAAACACCACCTACCACTGTTGTCAATATAGAAATTTCCTTTTTTCTGCAACTGAGATAATTTTGTAATAGCAAGGTATGCTTGACCAAACTTGACCTGATACCCTGATTTGTACTGTTTGGCCCCGGGTCCTTGCCCTTGCCTTGAGTATCTTTGTGGTGGTTTGCTCATCTCTGGCTACTGATGGCCAGAGAAAAGATCTCCTTAGTTGAGTACATTCCTGGCAGAAAAATTCACCCCCCCCCCCCCATAAGCTCAAGGTCTTAAAATGAAATATTTAAATATATTTATGAATTCTGCCTTTCCTTACAAAAGAATACTCTGTATTGCCAAAAATAATAATCTTTGGGAGTTCTGCTAGAATTCAACATCATGTTTTGATATTCAGGAATATGGAACGCAAAAGATGAAAACACTTGTGTCAGCGAGTACTAACTAACCTGGAATTCATTCTTTCTTTCCTCCTTATTATCAAAACCTGAATTTTAGCTGGCCTTCATTTCCCTTGAAGTTGGGCACAGCCTATTCCCAAGTCTCTTCATGAAATGTATGTATGGGACTTTGGAGAAGGCTGCTCAAAGCAAGTGGATTCAACAGGGAGGGATCTCTTTTCTGCCTTCCTTTTTGCAGCCCTTATCCTACAAACAATGGCTGGAGTTCCAGCAGCCAACATGGACCATGAGGTAACACTGAAGATGGAAGCTAGGTGATAGCATGGTGGAACAAAAAAATAATGGCCCCTGCCTCTGAGGACATATGGAAATGCCATTGCAGCCTTGGACTTCTTTTATGTGAGAAAGAAATAAACATATACCTCATTTGGGCAACAGGGATTTTGATTGCGTGTTATATACAGCAGAACCTAATTCTGATTATTATAAACTCATTTTCTTTCTCTGGCCCTGTGTAGCTCCCCTGTCATAACGCTCATCACAGTTTGGTTTAACTGTTCATTTGATGGTCTGTCTTCAACACTAGACCCCAAGTTCCTTGAACATCCTGTCTAGTTCCCCATTGCTGCCCCAACCACTGTCTGGTACATTTTAGGTGCCCAGTGAACATTTGTTGAATGGTTGACCGCAGGCATACCTAAATCTCAATTCTCTCTTCTCTCTTTCTCTTCTCCATCCTTTATAGATTATTCCTGCTATCAGACTTCTCCATCTGATTAAGCCATCCTTCATCTCTCTCCATCCCTAATGACAGCCCAGCCATCTCCCTATCTCATCCCAGCCTCTGCAACATTCCCATCCCTGTCCACCACATCCTTCATTCCTTAAACCAGGGATACCTGGCATGCACTCCACCAATTTCACAAGGGTGAAGGACATTATTCTTAAAAGGGAGAGCTAGGATGCTAATACAGGCCTTCTCGCCAAGTGCACTTGAAGCTAGATCCCATGTGGCACCTGGGGCTGGGGTTCCAAGGACCCTTGGGGAATTCTGAGAGACAATTCCAAGCCCAAACCATGGTCTTAGCAGTTCTCAAGGTGCCCCTTACCCATGGCCTGTGCCAGGGCTTGGTGCACAGGATCCCCCCCTTATGTGGCAGAATTAGCCCTCCCTCTTTCCCAGATCCCTATGGTCTCAGCCCCAGGTTCTGTCCCACAGTAGCTGGCATAGTAGCTGCTCAGATGAGGAAACCTGTCCAAGCAAGTGAAGAGGCCACCAGAGATGTCCACACTGAACTGCCTTTCTTGCTCCCCTAACAGAGTAGGGAAAAGCTTTTAAGAGGCCCTACCCTCACCCCAGCCAGATCACATCCATCATCCCCCAAGATCTTATTTTCTTAAGGGAAAAGTGCAGAACTTCCAGAAGTGATTCTATGTGGTCTAGAGGCAAGATGTTATTAAATGCTGAGTACATGTGGTATAGGATTTGGCATCTACTTCTCCTTGCTCATATGATATATGCCTCAATTCTGATCTTTGAATGTCTGCCTCCTCCCTGGTCTATCTTTCTTTTTTCTTTGCAGCTTAAAAAAATTATAGTAAAATATATATAACATAATATTATTTTAACCACTCATAAGTATACAACCCAGTGGCATTAAATACATTCACAATGTTGTGTAACCTTCAATATCATTTATACCCCAAACCTTTTAATGATTTGTAACAAAAACTCTGTGCCCATTAAATGATGACTCCCCCTCCTGGTCTGTTTCTTGATCAGAGACCCTTCCTCCATCATGGCCATCCCCTGACCTCAGCCGTATAGTTAGGTAGGTCCTACCTAGTTGCCAATAGTCCATCTTAATGTGATTTTCTGCCTGGCCTCTTGAGGAACGCATCCCAACATGACCTACCTGTTAAGATATCACTTTCTTAGACCCCTGATACTGGCTGCCTCTCTTTTGCCTCGTTTTG